AAAACTATACAGTGTACAAATTACTGTCTACAAGGTAGGCGGTTCATTAAGAAGACCTTTCGCTCTTCTTGCTACTTGCAGCTTCACAGATTCATTCACATATCTTTTAATGGAGCTGCCCACCCGAACATTACCCGATAACTATATTGCTATAATTAAGATTTTTGCCATGTCTTTATGTACAGTCTCCTTCACTGCCTTGTATTTTTTTTTCATTAGACAAGCCTCAAATGCTCACGTCACTCCAGGGGAAATACGCTTCAGAGGCACTGTGAGGGGTGGGTTGCAACAGTGCCACGGAACTGGTGGCTGGAGATGCCACCACCTACTGATGCCCTTGGGTGACCTTCACCATCCTGAAGCTCTGCAGTTCTGGGTAAGGGAGGGGCGTGCAAGACCTGCAAAAGTGGGGCCCTTCGTCCGAATATACTTCCTGGTAAAAGAGGAGGAGGCTGAAAAATGGATTTGAGATTTCATATATATAGTAGTACTTTTAATAGTTTTATCTCAAAAGGAAAGAAGAAAAAAAAATGGATTTAAAATAAAAAAGCAACACTTTAACTAGGCCTTTGTATTCAAGAGGCAGGCAGGAATACCCACAGTGTGTAACTTATTTAGCTAGAACTGCTCATTCACTGGCAAAAAAAGAGCGAGTCTGCCCTTAAAAAATACTGTGTGTCCTGTGAGTTTGACTTGTTTACCTAATAGGTCAAAGACACATGAAGAGCTTGGCTGAGATTATCTGTTTTCTACTAGGGCAAGTATCACAGAAATGATGGGACTTACTTTTGAGCTTGCACTGCTGGGATCCCGCTGTGCTATTCAGCATTTGGGCTATCAAACTGAATGGGCTAATCTAATACAATTCTCCAGCCCATAAGCATTGTTCTAAAGTATTCATTATTAAATGATATGCTGTGAGAACAATTGACAGTTTATTTTATTAGGCCATGGCCTAGGGAAAGGGGGTCAGGGGGCTCCTTAAGACAGCCTACCGTGTGTCACTAATTCTGAAAGATTTTCCTTCCAGTAATGAATTCACTCAATGGACCTTGGGGGTGAGGGAGGGGACAAAGTAAAACCAGCCTCCATTTACCCTCTAGCCCTCGAAACTAAATCAAATATATATTTGAGGTACCATTCCTTTAAAAAATCCCATCAGCATCTAATGGGTTTAATTCATCCACAGGAACATTAATTTCTTAAAATTCTATATTTCCCTTCTGCTCTGGTTCTCAGTTTTAAAAGGGCAGGTAAAATGAAAACAAGATTTATATTTTTTGTTCCTTAAAAATTGAACTTTGATTTTAATCTATCAGTCCAAATACATTCAATAATAGAAATCCTCTGTTCAATCTTCTGGATATCAAAAACAACAACAACAAAAAAACAAAAACAAAAATAAAACAATCCAAGTGCACTGCCATCCATTGGAAGTAGTAAGTCGCAGGTAAATCCTATCCTATCATCCATGAAGAAATGGGGACGAAAAGTAGCAGGGAAGGAATACAGGAGCAGTCCTTCCAACTGGTCTAACGTGTTTTGTAGGAGAAAATATACTCATGTGTTAAACCCAAAACCTGAAACATCCAACATCCTCTATGTGGACATTTCGACAAATGTCTTTGCCAAATATGGGACAGGCTCACTCTTCACTGTGGATCTGAAACTTTCAAGAAAAATTATCACCAAGCCAAGTCTGCCTTCTTATGTCAAGTCTGCCTCCAGGAGAATTGGTTGTGTTCGCTCGTTCTTACCATTTTGTTGTTATGAAAACCAGAAATGAGTTCAGCTTGCACCCCAGGTGGGAAGTTAGAGAGGGGGAACCTGTGTAAGTTGAAGTTCGTCACAGTAGGCAGAACAGTTGCTTTGCAGCCCAGGCCCATCTCAGGGTGCACTGCTTCACAGCTACACTGTAAAGTGTTAAAAATCCTCCCACCCACCCCAGAATATATATATATGTATATTAAAAAAAAAATCCCCTGTCCATCTCTCAGTACACAAAAGGACCTCATCACACTGCAAAAATAGCAGTACCCACTTTGGTCAATTAAAACAAACAAACAAAAAAAAAGCATACATTATTTTTTTTTTTAAATCTGTGTACTTACCTATAATAACCAATACAGCTAAAAGCACTACCTACATAGGCAAAACTTGGTATTGCATAATTCGTATAAATTTGAAACCCCACCCCCCCAAATATTAATTGGAAGATGAAAAACATGAAAGGTTAATAGAAAAAAACACCAAAATACTGAAAATATTGCTGGTCGATTACAATTTTTAAGCGGCAACTATACACAGCCATGATATGCTTTATAAATGTGAGATAAAGGTATAACTGTCTAAAAAATCCATGATGTCACACATTTTTCTTCGTCTGGAGTACAAAATATTTTGTCATAAAAATGGTAAAGATTTAAAATGATAATAAATGCAGCAAAACAAGTGTAGTGATGTCACTTTTTTGTTTTTTTTTGTTTTTTTTGTTTTTTGTTTTTTAGATTTCAAGGCAAGGCACGTAATGTGGACATTATATCTTCGTGCAAATTAGGATTACTGGAAAGAGTATTTTTAATTAAAATTTTAAGAGACATAGAGGCAAAATGTGTCTGCCCATGCACACTATGGATCTGTCAATACAAGAAATTTGTTGAACAAGGCTAATGTCTGAAAGCACCATGCAAGTTTTCAGCACCCTGATTACATTTGTTTTCTCAAGAGTGCGTTTTTATATCCTACACCCTGGCGTTCCCAGTTTGTAAACTGTAAGCTTTACCCTTGTGACATGGATTTGCCTGCCTCTTTGTCTCTATAATGCAGATTTTATAGAACCTTTTGTACACCCTATGGGTTCTTGATGCAACCAGTAATTTTAAATAAATAAATTCTACCTCCAAGGAGGCTGCAGCTAAACCAACATAAGTGCTGTGTTTTCATTAATTTTATTTTTCTCAAGCACATGATTTGTCTTAATTTAATGCCTTTTTAATGCCCTCAAAAACTGAGGGGAAAATAAATTCGCTCAAAATTATTTTAAATTCTTTTTAATCCCCTCAATTTAGAGTCCAAGGGCTGAAGGACTTATAATCATGATTCCCCTTTAGATATAAATTTATAAATTGCACTTGCCTCTGTTAAGTGTTTCTTTTGTGGGGAAAATATTATATTAATTTTTACTGTTGCATGCAGAGATAACACTTCACCTACATAGAGGCATTTCTTCCATAGAGCCTTTGTGTTCAAACTGTTTTTTTCCTTTTTTCTTTTTTTTCTTTTTTTTTCTGTTTTTTTTTTCTTTTTTTTAAGATTTCAAACTGGGTTACACACTGGAAAAGGCTGGGTTAAGGGCCAAAATTTAATAAATCTGTACTGATAACTAAAGGCTACAGAGATTTTATATATTTTTTTTTAACTTTTAGAAATCAGAGTGCTTATAAAATGGCTGGCTCATGGCTCTGTCACCCAGCACCTCTGACGCTGCCTCCTAGCCTTCGTTGGTGAGATAACCAGGAATAGTGATTCCATGCGTAAACAACAAGAATACTAAACCAATAAAACTAGCTTATCATGCAAATATTAAGGCATCTAGAAAGTCAGTTAAAATATATTGTCATAGAGACAGAACATCTATTTCCCAGCGGACTTCATGTAACAAAGGCTACGTTGCAGGGGCTGCGATCTACCATCAGTGAAATATCATCGACCCTTTTATGTCATTACAGTTTCAACCTTAAGGGAATTAGTGATTGTAAGTGCTGCAATTGCTGGTCTATCATCTTCTTTCTTCAGTTTCTTTCCTTTCTCCCTTTGTTTTGTTTTGTTTTGTCCAGTCTTCCTCTTTTCCTTTTTTTTTTTTTAAATTTCTTAGACTATTGTTGTATTTCTTTTTCCCTCAGTTGCTTGTTTCTGCTTGAAGGAAAGGTTCTCCAATTATGTTCAAACCGTAATTTTGGACATTTGCCGGTAAGATGGGTGTCCTATTTGACACTTGGAAAGGAACCAAGCTAGCCCAGGTACCAGGACTGTTGAGAGGAGAAGGGGCAGCAGAGGAGGAAAGAAAAAAAGAAAAAAAAAAAACACAACATTACAATCTACAACAATATGAGAAATACATATTCCAGATGCATCAAATTACTACTATAACTTTTTTCAGAATTAGTCTAATATAAGATAAATGTGCCAAATTATGCTTATTATACCTATATATACTATATGGTTTACTCCTTTCATGTAAAGTAACAATAATTGTGAGGCAGAAAAACCTGGAGTAGGACACACACACAATTGTTGAACTCTAATTGATTTGAGAATATTCTTCCTGAAACATCGCATCCACTTCAATGTAAATGCTATATGATTTTTTGGCTGTTCAAAAAAAAAAGAAAGAAAGGAAAGGAAGAAAAGCAGCAATCTACACCGGTACCAATATAGTTTGCCAGTTATATTCTAATCTTGTTTTACCTTTAATTCACAAGCAATTCAGTGGTAAGATGGGTTTCAATTTTTTACCTGCCTATTGGGTTGAATAAAATTGAAATGTGAAATGAAAGATGTTTCTTTCCCTCTCACAACAGGAAAAAATACATTTTTGTAGATAGGCCCGTGCACAATATGCAATTGGAAATGCCTAATTATCAAAACATATCTTAACCAGAGTTTTGTAGTGAATACAAGACAAATGAAAATTGTAGAACCAAAATGGAACACAGCTTTTTTTGTTCTCTACAGAATACCCATTGTGAGAGAAAACATTTATAGGAGGCCACAAGGGTCTCTGCTTGTGCTTATTAGTTCTACAGCTCTCTAGTGGTTTTCTTATCCTCCTCTATAAGTTACTTTTAGAGAGAACCAGAGTTTTCCTTCCAACTCATGTTTTCTTACATTGGCTTGCAACCGAAGCCTGAACATTCCCTGCTCCTCTCCTCAGTAATAATACCGCGATTGAGCTGTTTCGAATATGGTGAATTGGGAGGGCCAATGGGAGCGTGTGCTGGAGGAAGTAAGCAGATAGGATTTCTGCCTCTCTCCCATCAGCTCAACTTTTACCTATGTGGAATTTGGGGCTGTTAAAAAAAAACAAAAAACATTTGAAAAACAGTTGTCTCATTGCTACTGGTATAATCTCTCATTAAAGAAGTATCATATGGTGCAAAATAACACCAGATCTACGTATCGCAAAATAACCCCACACCATACATTTTGGAGTACACCTAATCTGATGTATTGCTTGTTTCAACACTCAACTCAGAATGAATGTCTGCTAAGTAACAGCTTCATAAATAATCATGAACCAAGAAAACATCAAACTGACAGTTCCATACTTGGTTTAGTCACAGCCTCACATGGAGACATACTTTCAGTGTTTTAAATTTCATTTAGTACCCTTTGCTTTCCTTTCGAAACCATGAGGTGAGGTGGACACTATTACTGTGGCTATCAATTTAGATACGCTCATTAGTTCGTGTTTGAATTCCAAAGGTACAAAAACTTTTATGGAATATTAACCTGAAGAAACAAATTTGCATTTAAAAAAAACTTGATACATACTGTTTTTCACTCTGGTAATAGTTCTATGCAAAATGTTGTTTATTGCTACATGTCTAAGTACATATTTATGAGTTAATATTTCAAAAAAAAAACCGCAGTGACCTTTTACACTCAAGTGATTTTTTTTCAAGTGAGTTTATAATTAGACTACAAGCTCCGTGACAGCAAAGTCCGTCTCCCTTTTTGCTAACCATGCAATATGAACCTAGCACATGGTAGATATTCAATAAAGTTTTGGATAAACAAATCAATTAATTATTTCAAATCACACCCAAATATATATTTTTAAAAGGTTTTTGCACAAGATTACATATACTCATGAATACCTTGTGATTTAGTCTCCTATAAAAAGAAAATAGACATCCCATCTCTGAATTTAAAATTAGAGATACTCAGCATTAACAAAAATTGATTATGCAGGAATAATCACATTCAAACTAAAACGATATTTCCTTATTATCTGATGAGAAATTATAATTCTAAAGAATAAGAATATGTGTTATTGAAACCTTTTCTAAGACACTTGTTTTCACATATTTGTTTCTTCCCACAAACATTTTCAATAATTATTTCTGTGCTCTGCACCATATACTGGGAACAATGTTACATAATGCACCATGAAACTTATTTTCCCCTCAACTGTGTTTCCACTGCACTTTGTACACAGTCCTATTACCGCATTTATTACTTCATATCATAATTATCTGTATCTATGATTATCTTACTGACTGAAAGGTGAGCTCCATAGAGAAAATGACCTAGCCTTATGTATCTCTATAGAGTCTGGCCACAGCTGATGCTATTTCTTAACAAATAAAATAAATTCCAAAAATGGATATCCATTGTTTTTAACCTGAATAAGAAGTATACATTAAAAGCAAAACGACCAGCTAAAATAGATAATCCTTGAGAGTAAAAGATTATGTCAACGACAAGTAAATTGTTTTGCAAAATCAACAAGAGTTCCAAATTAAATGAGCTTAAGAAAGCCATTTAGAAGTTTCATGCTTTAGGAATATAAAGTATATTTGAATGATTGAAAATAGGTATGGCTCCTTAAATGGACAAGTTTACCAGCTAATGGCAGAATTCAGGGTTTATTTTGCAATAGCTTTCTTACTCCATTCTTTAGAAGAGACATGTACCATTATTCTTTGGAAAATGCTCAATAAAAGTAAACTGATGCTAGTCACTAACAGAACTCTTGCTGCAGAATGCCTGACAAATTTAATTTAAATGTTTATTTAAACCTTTCAAGCCTCCCATCCTACATTACGGTCATATCAAAATTGCAGAGTGCAATATATTTGTCAATACTGTTTATGAACCTTTGGGGGAAAATAAATCTCAAACATTAACACTATGCAGACCCCATATATGAGTTTTACAAGTCTCTTATTGCCAATTTGTAGGTTAAGTTCAGAACTATAAGGCACAGACATTTTTTAGAGCTTTTTTTGGTAGTCTCATTGAAAAAAACCTGGTAAAACTAATTTAAAGACTGTGATAGCAAATGTAAAGAAAAATTCTTAATCAAACAAAGTAATAGAGATCATTTAATTTAAAAACACAATGCTTAAAGTTGCGTAGCTATTTAGGTAAAAATGTAACAGTGCTTTTGATATATCTAACTTTCTATATAAATTAATGCCAATAATAATATGTATGGATAAAATAAACACATATACACATATACAAATTAGTATATGTAAAATGTTTAATAGTTTTAATTCATAGTGGAATGAGAATTACTATATGGATAATCTTAAATTCAATCCAACAATCTGCATTCTATTAAGAGACATGAGAATATAACTAAGAGGATTTCAAAATATTCAAGGTCAAATTCAGCTACTTGAGCAATATATCTTCAAGCATGCATTTACTTTGTTTTCATCAAATTTTCCATGGCCAAATCACCTTTCTTTAGGCAAACAGAAGATGAGCATGACTGAAGGTTGAAAGCACATCTTTAGAATATGTAAACTGGCCATAACCATCAAAAAAGAAAAGAATATAATTATTCCGTGAAAAATCAGGCACAAAAAAAGCACAAACTATTTTGATAGGACCTTAACACAAAGCACAACTCACCCGAATGATGACTACTCTGTGCAATATAATGATATTTCATTATAAAAAATTATATAAGTGCTAAATCAAAATTCCAAATTAAAATGTCTGATATCACGGATACTATTTTCACACTATTTTGCCCAAACCATATGATATGGCTTTCCCCAAAAGGGAGGAAGCCCACAAATTATCTTGACCTTAAGATGCACTAAGAGTAGGGGATGGTCCTGCTTCATTGTATGCTAATAACACTACCTCTGAAGCACTGTCTCTCTTCTAGGCATCACTCTTCAAACAAAACAAACTCTATGGCATTTCTTTGTTGAAGACACTCACCAAGTCATGTCATTTAAAGAACAGGTGAAGGGAGACGGGGAAGACCTGGCAACTGAGTTGGAAAGAAATGTAGACGACTTCTGCATGATTCATTCAGGTAGAAATAGCACAAAGGGAGAGACTTCCAGACCATTCTGAGCACTTACTATGAGCAAGGTTCCATCTTTGTTGTTTTACATACGCTGTCACTTAATTCTCTCAAAGAGCTCTTGAGCTCTCTCTTGGCCATATCATTATCCCCATTTCAAATATGAAGAGATGGAAGTAAGATAAGTTACTTGCCCAAAGTCTTCCACCTATTCCTCTGGTATGAATCATTTCTGTCAGATTTCCCTGGCCATTTCACTATGTAACATTGCCTCCACAGGAAGTCAGACATTGGTCCAACATAAGGAAGAACTTTCGTACAGAGTTTTCTGAAGGCAAAATTTATTTGCTTCAGGAGACAATGAACTTTTTATACCCCACACCAGCTAGATTATAATCTAGCTAAAGAGGTTGATGCAGAAGAGACTCATGCATAGAATATGTGGTTGATCTGGGTAGTCAAGCAATCTGACATTCTATGTGTCTGTCTCCTCTGAAAATAAATCTAGTTGAAGTTCTACTAAAGTGATGCTTACGGTGAAGGTTAAGGGGGAAGAAGATACCCACTTCTTCCCTTTAAAAATGATACACTATATTTTACTTATCTTGGATAAACTGGATTAAATAGTTGGTCTTTGCAGATACAAGGAGTAACAGACTGCATCTTTCAATGAAAGAGAGAAAGTTGCTCTGTGCAGCCAAACCAACATTTGATGGTTATGTTTTTAAAATTATACTATGTCTTCTTGGCTAAAAAGGATTAGGCCCTTAGCTTTTACATTCACTGAAGAACAATAGGGTGCCAAATAAACATGTGTGAAGCCATTTAGTTGAGTCAGGAACCAAACAAAGACTTCACCTATTAGTCTTGAGTGATTAAAATGATAAGAGATATTAATATTTTAAGAATGGCAAAATTCATTTATTATTAGTCTGTGTTTATTTGATAATAAATTGGGCAACCCATGTGTTAAAC